TACAAGCAACTCGATACACTAACATCGGCCTTTCCTACTTCTGGGCTATGAATTACTTACGTTTTAGCAAGATTATATATGAACCTAAGCAACAACAAATAAAGAGAGCACACTTAGTTAGCTGGATATGTACAATAATATTGCTCCATTTTATCAAAGGCGGAAACAATTAGCTATAGTTGGATGTATACAACAGTAGTAGAGATGAGCCTCAGCCCTCTTATACCTTCCTTGAGCTCCAACACACCACAAAATGGTCGTTATGCCCCAAATGAGATGAGAGAGAGAGTCAACAAGGAAAGAAAATCACCAACTGAGAAGTGTTTTTTCTTTACCCCATAGATTGATGGAGATAGGGCTGCAAAGGCTCGTGGCTATTTTGGTCCTCGGTGTATCCAAAAGGTCACAGGATCAGCGAGGGGAGCAAACTCACGGTCTTTTTCTGGTTCTCGGTGTATCCAAAAGGTCGCAGGGATCAGCGTGGGGAGAAAACTCACGGTCCTTTTCTCACCTGTGGATTGGGCTGTGATCAGGTTTGGGGTATCCACTCCAAAGGAGCCCTTAAATGGGAATTTATATCACTATTTGATGTGTGGCCGTCTAAGCACAGTTCTCACTTTATTACCAACTCTCAGTTTTTTTTTGAAACTGGGACCTCTCAGTTATTGGTGAAAGGTAGCCGTCTAAACTCTTATTGCTCGTACCACTAAAATTTTCACTCTCATGAAATAAATAAAATATTTCTAAACTCATACACCTCATAATTAGTAATTACCTCGACCAAACTTATCGATATAGATTTAGGGGAGTCCCAATGCATAGTTTGTAGAGGTAGTTTCCAAGAGCAATAAATTTCAATATAGACCTAACTCTTCCAATACATAGTTTTTATTACAGTTTCTAATTCTAGAAAGAATCTATCCCTAATAATAAAAAAATAAAATTTCTGGCGTCCAACTCCGATCTCTATTTCGAATTCTGGTTTTTGTCCGGTAATCTCTAACAGTCTGCTCGGGTGCACCTAACTCCTCAAGGAAACAGAAGCGGGGTCCGAAAAGAACGGTACCGGCTCAGGCCATTAGTTTATATATAGCCTGTTCGGCTGGCTGATTCGTTTCGTTGCTGGTTCGTGAAGAAGTACTGCTGGCTGATTTGTGTGAGAGAAAAATACTATTCCGGCTGAAAATTTACGATCGTTTACGACAAGCCACAGCCAAACGAACAGGCTGATAGTTAAAAAAAAAAAATACGTACGAACCAGTTTAATTTCAAAGCACATATATGATGGGACTATGATGAGAAGCATGCAACATTTGGAAACACGTTAAAATTATTATCTGAAAAGTGAAAGCTGCTCCGGTGCAGGAGAAGAACGCGCGTCAGCGCCGGTCGCCGCTGCCGTAGCCGAGCACTCGCTCAGTCGCGTCGGCCGTTTCAAATTTCGATCTCTCGTCTAGAGGCCGTTTCGATCCAGGAGAGCGTTCCGAGTCTGGAGAGAGAGAAGCGAGGATAAATTTGAACGGATATGGCCGCACATGAGGAAGAGATAAGTACTGTCTGATCTTTTTCATGTGTTTTTTTATTTTTTTTTTTTTCATATTTTCATCTGTCCCATCAATCATGTTTTATTTATGTTTTATAAATGAAGAATCAAGAAGCAACGTAATAATATACAAAAATCTTCTTCCTATTTGATTATGTTAATTGTATACATTAAATGATTTATCGATAATCAAATAGACTACCACTGTATAAGTTGTTTGTTCGTATGTACGTGAGTTCCTAAAAACTTATAGACAACATGTTGTCTTAGAGTTGTACATGCCGTAATATATGTTTCCTATGTTACATATCCCGCAGAACGGCTCAGCCGGCAAAGATATGCTCCAAAGGCATCAACAATGACATTGATTTAGAAATAGTGTCGGGTTCCCAGTGCAAAATCATTTATTATTTTTAAACATAATCAAATCAGCTTAAAATTGTAAAATTCATAATAATAAACTATACAAATATTTTAAAAGTAAAACCGAATTTTAAGATTTTCTTAAACTAGATGTACATAATATAGGTGCATGAAATGGTCTATATATTTTCAATGTAATCAGATTTAATTTTTCGTCCAACCTAATCCAAAGTGGCTCAGCCTCGACGCCATTAGATCCGAAAAACTGTGTCAGTTTTTTCTCCGTGAACCTTCCATTATTTCCAATGCTCCCGTCCCTTTCCCGTTTCTTTTTATTTTTCTATTTCCTCTTCCCACCATGGGTTCTATAGGTGACTTTTTCTTCTCTCTTTTTTATCTCTCACTTTTTCTTATATAAATAAAAATAATAAATAACAAATATATTATGAGTCTCTTATTTTCTTTACTTTCCAAATGTGCTCCTGTATGTGAATCCGGACTCAAGATCCGTGAGCATACAAGTAACCACAACTCACATTTCTTCTCTTTTTTATTTCTTACTTTTTCCTATAAACAAAAATAATAAATAATAAATATAGTATGAGTCTCCGATTTTTTTACTTTCCAAAATTCGGTCATGCCCCTTCGTGCCCCGTACGTGAGTCTAGACTCATGATCCGTGCTCATACAAGTAACCACAACTCGCATTCGGCAAAGCACAAGCACAATTGCTAGCAAAATCTATGTTGGATCAGTGAGACGCACAAAATCTACAAGATATAGGAGTAGGCGAGTACTTTATCGACACATTTTTAGGTTTTGTTATTTTCTTTTCCCAAGTATAGTTTGTTTTTTGTGGTTTTTGTATTTTTATTTTTCCCAACGCAAACTCAGACACGCGATGGGTCGTGCGTTCACGCCCCGACGGAGAGGAAGAAGAGCCGCCTGGTGCCAGGGGGTCACGGTTCGAGGAGAGAATTCACTCACCGACGGGTGTACAGGAGGGTTTGTCTTGGTGGTTGCAACATGGCAGTGATGGTGACCGAGACGACGTGGGCACCACCCGCCGGGGCCATGGGCGGATGTACATAAGACATTACTGGGTGCAGCCGCACCCACACAAAAACAGGAAAACAATGATTATAGCTAAATTTTTACCATATTCGTATCCTCAAAACAAAAGTCTACGCACCCACGAGCCAAGCGCACCCCCCTTAATTTTTCTCTAGCTCCGCCATTGCGTGGCGACGGGAGATGGCGGTTTGCGCAAGGCTGACGACGGGGGCATCGTGCCAGAGTAGTCGACAGGAGCCCTATGGTTAGGGTGGGGCAGCGTGAGAGATTGGGGGGGGGGCAGTGATCCTGCATGAGGTGGTGACCGCGGTGTTGGAAGCCCAATGGAGAGGTGGCGCATGAGGGGTGCGTGAGGCAGTGTGCGCAAGCGAAAGCAGGGGCATGCTGTTCCCAACTATGCGATCATTCTCCCATAGCAACGCCTCATGCATGCTTCACAAAGAGAGTTTGATAAGTTGTAACAAAGATTATATGTAGCAATGCGTGTGGCCACAAATCAATACCAAAAGCTTCTCATGCTCAGGATAAAAATAGGACTGGTACAACCTAGATCATAGCCATGCCAGATTAAAGCTGGGAGAGGGAAGCGACGTACAGTTCGGTCGGTTGACTGGTTCGTATCGTTGCTGGTTCGTTTATGTGAGAGAGAAGTACTACTGACTGATTCACATAAACAGTGTTTATGAGAGGAGGTTGGCCAGCCCGGCCAGCCAGCCCCAGCCGATCAAGCTGCTATATGAGAGAAAAGATTTTTCTCCCAGCCAAAAAAATCATTCTTAGCCAGTGCTATCGCCGTCGATCGCCGCCGCGGTGGTGCTGCGACGCCACGCAGATAGAGGCGGCTTGCATAGATTCGGGCATCCAGCGCCGGCGCCGTGCCGTATGGCTACTCTTCTACGACGTCGCTGGACTAGACGCGGCCCCCTCCAGCGCGCGCGCTCGACTAGCCCGGACTCTGGATCCGTCATCGTTGTTCTCTTGCTCGGCAGGGAGCAGTGGATCTGAAAGAGGCGGATGGAAACAACTAGTTTCTCCCATATGCTACTCGTCTGGTTTCTTCACATCTTGATTCACGTGAGGACTCTCGGTTCCTTGGTGAAACCTTTTCTCCCTTGCTCCGTACTCTCTCTTTATTAAATCTTTTGTCACGTCAGCAAATTGTTTAGTTGACAAGGTAATTAAGATAGATAGAAACTATCAGTGATATCCTTAGGGTGCATCGACATAGCTTAGAATAAATTAAAGTTGTTCAAATATATATATTTAATCTAAAATTTAAATGAAGTGATTTATGTTAATGTTGATCTCGTGTCTACGGCTTAGGATATACCATTTTTTTATAAAGAAGCAACTTTTAGAGTTGTCTTAAGTTAAATTATTCTCAATTTGATTAATTTTATAGAAAAACATTAATATTTTATGAGACCAAATTAATATCAATAGATGAATCATGAAATATATTTTCACAATGTATTTATTTAATATTACAAATGTTTAATTTTTTTCTCACAGCAAAACAGTATCATCTGGCTTATTAAGCGTAAAAACCATCGGCCCAACAACAGAGTTGTTGCTCTGGTTACTCTTCTATGTAAAATCGACAAATTTAAGATAACTTAACTTTAGATGATTGATTTATTGGGGATGGAGAGACTATTGAAGCTTTGGCCTTGTTTAGATTATAAATTTTTGCAACATGAACATTGTAGCACGTTTTATTTGTATTTAACAAACTTTATCGATCATGGATTAACTAGGCTCAAAAGATCCATCTCGTGATTTACAACTAAACTATATAATTAGTTATTTTTTTATCTATATTTAATACTTTATGTATACGTTTAAAAATTAATGTGATATAGAGAGAGTGAAAAAACTTGGAATATAGAGATAATCAAAACAAGGCCTTTATTGAGCTACGAATTCTAGATCCAAATAGTAGCGCATATACAAGGCCACACCATCTGTCCTGAAAGAGAGAGAAGCGAAGGGGAAAACCCCTATAGGTCAGGGGGAAGAGATGCCGGAGCTTCCGGAAGTAGAGGTGGCGCGGCGGGCGCTCGAGGAGCATTGCGTCGGGAAGAGGATCGTGCGGTGCGTCGCCGCAGACGACACCAAGGTCATCGACGGGGTCGCCCCCGAACGGTTGGAGGCGTCGCTGGTCGGGAGGACCATCGCCGCCGCGCGGCGCAAGGGCAAGAACATGTGGCTCGAGCTCGACTCCCCGCCGCATCCCACTTTTCAGTTCGGTCCGTCTCCGTTCTCATGTCCCCAGATTGTTTCCGTTTGGTTTCCTTACCTACGTCGCGTATTGGTCCGTATCTTGGTTCTTGAGTTTTTTATTGTGTGGTTTTGAAGGTTAGCAACACAGAAGCCTTTTTTGGTGATTTGAGATTACCTTTTCTTCCCCCTTTTCATTTCGAGTTATTGTGTCCAGGCTATTCTTGGGCTCTTTCCATGCTGCATTCACACAACTTTAGGGAGTTCCATGTGCCGACTGCCGAGTTTTATTTTCCTGAGGTGTAGTGCAAATGTGTAATCTGGAGCATTTAGTTTTTCCACAGTGTTCAACTATTAGTTTCGATTAAAATGCAAAATTTTCCACAGTGTTCAACTATTAGTTTCAATTAAAATGCATGTGTGTAATCTGTAGAATTTAGTTTTTCCACAGTGTAAATGATTGTAATGGTCCCTTTTGAGCTGTTGCGGTTTTCCCTTCTATGAATTGTTTCAGAAGTCTTGATTTTTTTCAAGCTGTAAGCATATGAGATCTAACAGAGATGGACATAACTTTTAGCCTTTGCTACAGGTATGGCTGGGGCTATTTACATCAAAGGTGTGGAGATTAGCAAATATAAAAGGTTTATTCTTTTCACAAATTTCATTCTTTTATGTTGCATGTTTTAGCTTAAGGCAGCTAACACCTCTCACTTAAGAATTAGCTACATAGTTTAGAAACAGAATGGTTGGTGCTACACAGAAACAAAAGAACTATCACAATTTTAGATTAATTCCATTTTGCATGCTATGCTGTAATAGCAGATACATACAATTATCATTGTGTTAGTTGGTGCCACCTGAGCCACTTTGATGGTATAGAAGGTGTAAGCATGAGGGCACACAATAAAACCAAGCCTGCAGTCAGTAAAGCCTTAATCTGTACATTGGGAATGGTAATTCTAGTTCTAGAAATTACTTTTGGACATGGTGTAGCTAGATTTTTCTTGAAAACTAGTTTCAAAATACCACAGCTTTGCTTTGACTTGCATACATTTGTTACAATGAAGCACTAACTAGTGATCGAAGTAGTGTATCGGTGACCATATCAGTGTCCAAAATGGCATCCTCTGGGGTTTGGATGGTTTATTCAATAGTCCTCTCCTATACTTCTCCTAAAACAATAACAATATGGTCTCAATCCTATGATAAGGCCGGAAGGAGTGCATCCCCTGTAAGAAATTCCTATAGGCCATTCGAAGAAAGGCACCAAATATGAATGTCTGTAACTACAGGCTGCAAGACCACCTCATTGCAGGTGCTGGACGGCCAATCTTCCAGCAAGAAAAGGGATCCCTCATCCAGAGAGGTGTCATCGTTGTGATCAATCTGAGGAATCCATCAACCATCCTCTCCTTTCTTGCATCTTTGCTTGGAATTTTTGGTTCAGGATATTCCAAAGGGTAGGCCTACAGATCCTTGCCGCTCAGATTGGAGAAGATTCTTTGATGATTGGTGGGAGAAGATTATCCTTGCTATTGGAGAACAACTGCAGAAAGGCCTCAACTCCCTTGTGATTCTTGGGGCTTAAACCATTTGGGATTGAAAGCACGTAGAATGTGTGGATGTATTGCATTGAGTCCTTGGGTAGTATAAATAGAGTACAAGACTTGGGGGTCAAGACGCCTCTCGAATACATATGGCAATACGGGATTACAATATCCCTAACTACCAAATGTACTAACATCCCCCTGTAGTCATAGCGGAAGCATCACAGATGATTAGACTAGAGAAGAAGTCGAAGACTAACATCCCCTGTAGTCGTAGTAACGCTGCAATGCAGATGCGACTGGAACTGGAATAGAAATCGACAAGTAGCTCATGAGGATGATAACCCTTTTAGTCTCTGAAGTAGCTAAGGTCGAGGTGGACGTGGTCGAAGCCATGGAGGGAGGCTCAAACCTGAAACATCAATACAGGCACATGAGTACACATAATCACCAGCTTCCCACTGACAACTGCGTCAGGACAAAGAGAGAGCTGGCTGGATGGCCAAGGTAGACCGGGCTGCTCAGACGTATCGACAAGCGCTCACGTCATCGATTTGCAACATTGGCGGCGACTTCTCGTAGGTGGTAGCAGTAGGCGGACTTGGATTGAGGGTTGGTGTGACAAGGATCAGCAGTATGGGTGGCGCCAGCCTAGATAAGCAACGACTAGGAAGATGGCTTGACCACGAGCAGCGTCCTTGGGAGGGTCAACGATCGAATGTCGAGAGATTGGCAGCCATGGTGACAACCCCGATTTCTCATCGGGAAAATAAAAGAACATAGCAACAGATCAGATGGTTGCTGCAAGGCCAGGGGCGGCGCGAAGGTCCTGATGGATAAGTCTGGCTGCTGTGGTCTTTGTGGGGCTGCTGGTTGTTGCTGCCACAAGGACAACATCTTAGCATCTAGGACAGCATCTTAGCATCTTAGACTAGCATCTTAGCATATGCTTGGCTGGCTAGCAGCCTATAAATATGTATCCCCAACCCCTCAGGTTGGCATGGCATTTGTGTGAGTTTGTGTGAGAAATAAACCAGAAAATTGGCCCAACTCCTAGTGTCATCCTCTCTCGATGAGAGCAAGAATTCTGCTACTACCGAGAGTGAGAGTTCAACGACTAACAGGTCCGACGTCCACTTGCGACGACGTGACGACCAACCACCACTATGCGGCAAGCCGGCAACCGATGTCCCTAAGGGCAGCAGTCCGGCGTCCCCAAGGGCGTCCTCTGTAGCCATGTGCTCGTGCTCAAGGGGCAGCGACAGTAGTGGCGCAAGGGGGGGGGGGTGCGGTGCGGGGGAAGGCAGATCTGGTGTGGCTAGGGAGGGGCTGGTAGTTCCCGATGATAGTGATTCCAAGGGACGACATAGAGGGTTGGCAATGACAAGAATAGTGTGGCAACCCATCGATGCCCACGGCAAGCCATGCTGATGATTTGTTGCTGCTCAACGCCAGGGCAGCAGCATAACCTTCCTATGATGACACTGCCCTTGGGGGAGATCGATCTTCTCGGGGGCGGTGCGGCGGTGTCAGTGGAAGCCTTGGCTCAGGATCAAAGCCCTAAATCGTGATACCATGAAAGTAGAAAAATTGCGTATAATGTGTGGATGTGTTACATTGAGCCCACGGGTGGTATAAATAGAGTGTAAGACTAAGGGGGGCAAGACGCCTTCTGTATACATATGACAATACGGGATCCCTAGCTACCTCTAACTGTAATAACAACAATAGATGTGTATTTGATGGTGTACCTCTTTGTTTGGCTAGAGCCTTATTGCTCGTTAGCGAGGAATTACACTTATGGGGTTTGGCCGGGGCTAAAGGTATTTCTTACCTTTTTGCCCAGTTGTCGGAGTAGTGCATGTTTAGGTCGCGATCATATCCCTGTATTTTACTGGCGCAAATGTGTTTGTAACTTCTTTGTGTGTGTGTGGTTTGTAAGGGTTCTTTCCCTTTTTCTTAATATAATGATATACAACTCTCCTGCGTGTTCGAGAAAAAAAAAATAACAATAGGGTTCTAACTTTTTAGTAGAGTTTCAACATACTATTAATAGATAATTCTGGTTCTGTTATTACCAGGAAAGTCTGTACGCGAACTTATCACATACACAATTTGCATAGTTTGGTCACATGGGATGTTGATTGCATATGAAGACTAACCAAGAAATGTATAATATTGAAGTTAAAAATTAGCATCAAGGGGTGAAAAGACAGTGGAAATAATTCAGCTTATTTTCTTTCATGTGGCATTCCATGTAGGTCTTCAGTGAGCCCAACTGAGGAGTGGCCCTCAAAGTACTCTAAACTGTTCGCTGAAGTATGTATTCTAACCATATAACCTTCTCATTGTATTCCTGTTCTCTTATGAATTGAAAGTATGTTTGTTTCTGCTGGCAAATTACCTAACTCATTTATACACAATAACACATATTATTATTTGTTTTTAATATAAGATCCAATGATTTCACAGATGAATCTGAAATATCTTATATGAGCTATGACCTACAATTTCATGATATTGACTTATATTTGGATTGTGATTCTTAAATATCTTATTTCTGATCCAAGCAAATTGATGTCTTATGTGGTGATGGTAACTTCCATGGTATCCGATTCAGATAATTGTATTTACATGAGAAGCAGTAACATTGCAGAAGTTGAAAAAAATAACATATTGAAATATTCTAATTATGGACTTGTGTACCTGCTGGGGCATTTGTTTTTCTTGCGTGCGTGCTAAGTGGGCCTGCCTTCTTTTTTAACTACAAAAGGATATTGAACCAACAAGTTGTGCTAGTTATTTTTTTTATATATAAATATGTTCTTGTTTGTTCATCTTCTTGTTAACCTGTTGCAGATGGATGATGGCTTGGAGTTTTCCTTCAGTGATAAGAGGCGTTTTGCAAAAATAAGACTGCTTGACAACGTAATAGTCTATAGTGATTATTGGAAAAGTTTACTCTTCTATTTGCTGTGATGTTTGATATGTCTAATTACTTTTGTATGTTCTAATAGCCAGAAGCTGCCCCTCCAATTTCTGAGCTTGGACCTGATGCCTTATTTGAACCAATCAAGCTTGATGAATTTATGAAGTCATTAGGTCAAAAGAAAGGGCCAATAAAAGCCCTTTTACTTGATCAGGTATGAGTTTCTAAATTTTGGTGTGGACCCAAATTGCCTGAACCCAAATATTAAGCAGATAAGGTTTGTTTATGCTAGTTCCTAACGCAACTCTGAATATAATTCAGTGCTTTAGTCATATGTGAAGTGGTGTGAAACAACTTAGAAATATCTTGCTCAAAAACACAAAAAATTCAGACCTTAAAGGCATTTGATTCAATGTTTCAGTCAGTTATTTAAGGCCCCATTTGGCTAGGCTTCTTCCGGATCTGGCACTGTAGCGACTATAGTGTAGCTGGAGGAGCCCCAGAAACACAGCTCCGCCAGCTCCGTCTGTTCGGTAGGCAAAAAAACACGAGGGGATGGAGCTGTTCCGTTGGTGCTACAGTGCACCACAGTACGCACGGTGACACGAGGAGACGGAGCTGCTCAGACGGAGCCCTGCCAAAGACACCCTAAGAGAATGTGGTTTAGGATACCAATGTGTCTCCTCAGTCGTAGTAGAAACAATAATTTTAATATAAAATGTTATTTTTTTGAAACAATCATATAAAATGTTATTAGCAGGTGCAGATGTACTCTAGGTTCTGAACCCCTTGTTTTGCAGAGTTTTATATCAGGAATTGGCAACTGGATGGCAGATGAAGTACTTTATCAGGTCTGTGCTCTGGACATTGCTTCCACTGATTTACAGTTTACGATCCATGACAAAAAAAAATTAAATATAACTTTTATGTACTTTTAGTGTTGCACAATATGGATATTAGACAATTCTTTTATTGTTCTTCTGAACGAAATTACCATAGATAATATTGACTAGCTCAATGTTGAGCTTGCTGCTACACTATTTACCTCAGCGCAAGCAACTTCTCTCTGGTGTCATAGGAGACAAGTGTGGTACCCCATGTAGGGTCGGCACTGCCATGGCCACCAGCAGATTCATGAACTGTGTCGCCACAGGAGATCCATCATTTTAGCAAAGATTTTTGCTGCAACACAAGCAAGGAATTGGAAGTTATTATTATCATGTTTTATTGGCCTCTTATTACACTTGCAATGTGCCTGGTGCTTCACATTTTTAGCTCATAATTAACTATGCCACATATTTTTGCCTAAGGTTAATCTTGCCACACTTCTGTAGCAAGGAAATTGACCACCTAACCTTAGGCACACTTCAGCCAAAACTGTCTTTAGCATTTGGGCCAGGGGCCAAGGATAGGCAAGCTGGTGCTGTGGTGGCAGCCAAATATTAACAAACAAAATTTGCAGCAGCTTGAGGTTAGGTGTGGCGACCTTAGTTTGAAATCTATAAAAGGTAAGTGATGCTTACATGTTTGTGTAAACTTCCAAAACAGGGACTAGCTTCCAAACTTTTGTGTAGAACTTTGTGCAATGCTCTCTGTTTGATAATTTAGTGGCTCATCTTTTAAACACTGTAAGTTATAACCACAACTGTACCAGTATGTTTGTTTGAAACAAGAGTGATCTGCTAATTTCAACATGTACACTTAAGCTCGTTTCACATTTGCACTGCTTTCAATATCTGCAGTGTTGTAGAACTAATTTGCTATTTCTGACTATGCTTCACATTTAGGCAAGGATTCATCCTGGGCAAACTGCATCGAAGATATCAAAGGACAAATGTGAGATACTCCATCAGTGCATCAAAGAGGTAGGTCCATGCCTCCATGGTTGGCATCAAGAGTTTGCCTTGTTGCAAATGGATTGTAGGCTTGAGAACTTTACTTGGATCTAGAATTAGTATGTGATGATGCGTCTTCCATTAATTTATTCAAACAGTCAGTCTGAAAAGACAATAATTGTGTTTGCTAATCGTTGAAGACTGATACGGCTGATATGGGATAGAAGTGCTTGAGCCGTCACCTTAGCATACCAAGTGGGCATGCTATGTTATTTCATACATCTAAAGCTATTGACTAAACAATTAAGGAAAGTCTGTGTGTCAGCATTTTATGTATACTCATTGACAAGTACAGAAAATTCATTGAAATAAGACTTTAACAGTCATGATAATGCTATCCTTATGCAGCGAAAAGAGAGTGACATTATTGGACATCCATTTTCTCTTCTTATGCATGTCATTGGGATGATAATTTCATACATAATAATCTTTGTTTACCTTACACAGGTTATTGAGGAGTCCTTAAAAGTTGGTGCCGACAGCAATCAGTTTCCAGAAAAGTGGATATTTCATTCCAGGGAGAAGAAACCTGGCAAGGCCTTTGTGGATGGTATGAGCATATCTTCTTTTTTTTTGGATGCGTGGGGTGCTCAGGGTGGCCTATCAACATTAAATGTTGCATTTGTTGGTTGCAGGGAAGAAAATTGACTTCATTACAATAGGTGGTAGGGTAAGTTCTTTTGTATCAAACCAACTCTATCTTGTGTGATCCTGCTCTTACTCTCAATGTGCTTCTATATTGTTCAGACCTCAGCATATGTGCCAGAGTTACAGAAGCTGGATGGGACAGATGCGGCAGCCAGCAGATCTAAGGGAGGCAAAGACAAGGAGAATGATGACGATACAAAGTCAGGAAAAGGTAGAAATGCTCCAAAACCAGCAAAGGGAAGAGTAAAGGCGGCAAAAGGCTCGTCAAACAAAGCTACAAATACTTGTGATGATGGCGACGATGAGGATTATGAAGTGGAAGAGGCAAAACCAGCAAAGCGGGGAAGGAAGCAACCAGCAAGGGTAGCTGATACCTCATCAAAAAATGCTGGCAGTATTCATGGTGATGAAGCTACTGATGAGGAAGATGCACGTCCAGCAAAGAGGGGAAAGAAGCTAATAGAAAAGACCACAAAGCGCTCATTGAAGGAAGCCAATCATGAGGACAGTGATGAAGAAGCAGTTGGTAAGATAGAGGCCAAACCTGGGAAGGCACCAACAGAGGCAAAGAGCTTGCCAAAGCAAGTTGATGATGCTGGCCCAGCAAGGAGGCCGCAGAGGAAAGTGCGGCAGCCTTGAGCATGCAGGGAATTAAACAATGTATTTTGCAATTAGATTCTCAACTGACTTCAAAGGTTTAGTTGACTTAGGTACTTGATGTGGTGCAGTCGTGCAGAGGAGCCTGTTTCTTCTGCACCGGCACATGATATTGCATCAGCCGGATCACGGTCATTTTGTTGCTTATATGGCCAGATCGACAGATTGAAATATCCCAATGCAGTTGTGTAAGCAATTAAAAACACCGCTAATGGTTGGATGCCGACATGACGTTGCCTGCATCATCACCTGTCTCTGTCTGGAATGAGATTCTCTAAAGTGAGGGAAAGCTTGCTTACACAAGAATCAAGATGGCTGGCCTAACATCCAAACAACGTGTACTGTTCTAACTTCTTGCTAGGCAAGGCTAGGCAAGCTGCAGCAAGGAATCCAAACACCCTCGTTTTCCAGGATTTCGGGTTTGTTTGGTTCGGGCTTGTTTGGTTTGTGCTGTGAACTCGCCAGAATGTGCCAAAGAAGTTTAGGGGCCGTTTGGTGCAGCTCGTGATGGCTCCGGCTCCCTCTGCATGGCACTGTAGAGCACTGTAGGATCTTGTACATCCCTGTAGCTCTTGGGGAAATGGCTTTGGCTCCGTCTCGAAACAACAGCAAATGAAGAGGAGCCGCCGGAGCTGTGTGGGGTGGCTCCGCCCGGCTCGGTCACAGTCAGCCTGTCCGTACGAAGGTTTTCAGGGCTTATTAATCAGTTAATAGTATTTTTCTCTCACAATAAATCAACATCAGGCGGACTTATTAGTCCAGAAACCAACCAACGAACATGCTTTGCACAGTACTGCTACGGGGTGAGAGCCGGAGCTGGGTGGAGCCTGGCCAAACGGGCCCTTCGGCCCTGACATGATCACTACGCGAGACGCGTGCTGTAGAATGCAGGTTCGTTACATGATCCCTGGAACCACTGCTCCTAAACAGAATCTGATGTTTAGGTTTGAGCTAAGTTGCTTTGAGCTATTGACTATGGCAGGGTCAAATCCTCCCATATGAAGCAGGCAGGCAAATCTTAGAACAAATATTTGCATCGTAAATATAAACAACCCTATAGACATTTGTTTTGTAATACCAGTGTTCACCTAAACGGTTTAAACGACCTTTTAAATGGTCAGTAAATAATAAATGGTGGTAAACTGTCTTGTTTAGGGAGTAAACGGAAATTAAACGGTTGACCGTTTAAACGGTCAAAAAATGAGAAAAACGGTTTAAACGGCCTAAATGAAACGGAGATAAACAATATTAAACGGGCTAAACAGCTGTTTAAACGACTGTTTAGACGAACACGAGGTAAATCTAGTTCAGTTTTGTATGGATAAATTTGTATACTTAAGTTTATTATATTTATAAATGTGTACACTTGATATGTTACATGCATAAATATCTATATTTGATTTTTTCACATGCATAAATATATATACGTACCAAAATAATTAATTTTTACTCGGATAAATATGTATAAATGCTAGAATACTTGATTTTTTACATGCACGTCAGGGTTTTTAAGTCGTCTCCAAGGCGACGCCTAGGCGTCCAGGCGCTATTTTAAGCTGGGCGTCGGCCTCGCCACGAGCAGCATCTGTATGGCGTCCGCCTTGCAAGTCCCTATCTCATCTCTCCCGTGCGCAAAAGCCGCAAACTCACTTGTTCTTGTCGCGCGCGGCCGCTCCGCCTCTTCTTCTCCATCGATTTGTGCCTCCCCTGCTTCGTTTCGAGTCTTCCCTGCTTCGATTTGAGCCTCCCCTACTTCGATTCGAGTCTTCCTCCCTCTTCTCCGTTGATTTGTGCCTTGGATTCACGGCTCCTTGCGCTGCTCCGCCAGTTCCAGCCTCCCGCAGCTCGGGGGACAGGACGACAGGTACATGTGAGCATCTCTTCCTCTCCCTGCAGCTTCACTCCTCTTGGATGTGCACTGCCCCTGCTCTTGATTTGGATGTGCACTGCCTCTGCTCGACTTGGATGTGCTCTGCAGTTCACATCTTCTCTGCAGCTCTGCTTCCCTCCTCTTCCTCTGTTTCTTTCCATGTCTTTCCTCTGCTCGTGGCTTTGTTATACATATGCTGACTGGAAGTGCTCAAGTTCTTTGTTTTTACAGCTGATAGCACAATGTCAAGTCCATCTTTCATCATCAGCAATTATGATCCCAGGACTGATTTAGCTCGGAAGGGAAATTCTGCGGATCCAGGATGGAAGTATGGCTACTGGCCAAACCTTCAAAACAAAGATGTAGTGGCCTGCACTCTATGTGGTGTCTCACTTTTTGGAGGGATAAGAAGGCTGAAGAAGCATCTAGCGGGTGGCTTTGGAGATACAATGATGTGCAAGAAAACTACCACTGCAATTAGAGTAGAGATGGAAAACTGCTTAAATGATCATCCCTAAATGATGCTCACGTAGATTTCAGATCTGCAATTATGCTATTTATATTTGTTTTGCCCTAGCAGCACTAGTCATTAAGTTATATTATGTCATTAGAGACTAATTTGTTGCTATTGAGTGATGAGAACTATTTTGCTACTTTATGTTGTGCACTAGCACTCTGGTAGCACTATTTATTATGGTATTATATGCTAAGACTTGACAATATTAAGATATGATTTGCTTCTGAATTTTAGTAGCACTATATATTAAGATGATCATATGGCGTCGTCTCGCCGCGCGCCTTAAATGCCTAGTCGACTCAAATGGGCGGGTCGCCGCGGCTCAACTTATCGCCTTAAAAACAATGATGCACATATATAATTATATGTATTTTTTTTAAAGTACAAAACCGTTTAGACCGTTTAACTTCGTTTAAACATCGTGTAAACAGCCTAAACGCTAAATCAAAGAGCGACCGTGTAAAGACCGTTTACCGTTTAGGAAAACATTATGTAATACTGGACTGTACATATCCATATATATGTTTGCTAGACTTATTCAACTACTACAAGACTAGAACGCAGCATGTATGGATATGTATAGTCCAGTATTACAAAACAAATGTCTATAGAGTTGTTTATATCTACCATGCAAATATTTGTGTTCTAAGATTTGCCTGTCTGCTTCATATGGGAGGATTTGACCCTGCCATAGTCAATAGCTCAAAGCAACTTGGCTGCTGGTCTGCACATTGGTGTTCCATTCGCCAAAGATTCCATGGAGATGAACGGCCTCCAGTTCAGATGCAACTTAAAAAATCAACAAATATATTCAGCTGGGTTTAACGAGCTCAAGTAAAGACACCACACTTATTAGGGATCTAATTCTACAACTATTGCAATTTGCAAAGTGTCCCGCGAGTATTGTTCTAACTGAGCTAAAACTGGTAGCAACCAAATTTGCTTCTAACAAAACAGTGGGTAATAAAGTTTCCACAACAAAGTGCGCATTCAACAAATAATTTCAAATCACTAGACAAGATGAACGAAACAAAATTACTGTAGGCATGTCATGGATTGTATCAAATTATTGTTTAAATTTCATGTTCCCATTCTCCTGAACAACTTTCCAATAATGGAATTGACACTTTCCCGGCTCTGATTGCAAAGCTGAAGCTCCAGATGATACTTGGCGTTGCACTAGCACTTGTGTTAGAGCTAAGAGCAACTATTAAACTATCCCTTGCACAAAGATCGACAGAGCACAACGAGCAACACGGCACAATTACATATCACTAAAAGTAAGCCTGATACAAGCCCCAGTTATGCCATCTACGGTCACTATAAATGCCATGCCATATATTTTTCATGATTTAGAAGAACTTGCACCAGCAACTTGAACCTTTGATGCTCGGGAAGCACCAGCTCCAAGTTCCTCACCTGCAGATATTGCTCCCAGTCCTGAAGAAAAAGAAAATACAAATTTAACATCAGATGAGAAACCAACAAGTTGTTGCCCATGAAATTAATTCTAAGTTGGCAGAATAACAACAAAGCTGTTATTGCTACAGCCACAAATATAATAGGTCGTTTAGTTTGGAGAAAGGTAGTCATTTAAGGCTCACTGTATGAAGGAAAGAGAATTTCATGAGAAATATAAGATCATGTCTATTTGGTCAGAATGGACTGAGAATCACAATAGTGTAACCAATAGCATATGCACTTCCCTGTTTAATGACAGGGCTAATACCTCTGTTCTTCTTAATGTTAGCCCCTCTACTAGAGCATGTACATGGATAAATAACCAAAAGGAATCATACAGTTACCATAGCTCAAGTCTTTGTTTCTACTTCCTGGGAGAGTAAATATCCTTTTTCCTCCATAGAAGATTTTTCAGGGGATGGGGAGTGACCATACACCTTTAATGTTTGTTCTAAAACTACCCCTTGGCAGATTGTAAAGTGGGGTTTATATCATAGTGACAAAAGATTTGGAATAATGTCCAGAAACTGAAACTATTGAGATCTAAAAAAAAACTTCCAGCACTATTATTAATGCTGCCAATAAGAAGAAAAAGAACACTACATTACAGCAATCGGGCATCTTTGTTTTTTTTTCCAATCAGAACCTCTGATCTGATTCAAGAAAAATAGAAAAAAAATATCTTCAGAACTTGAACAACTTAGGGAATGAAGGAACAAAACCACAAAAACAACAGGAGAAGGAAGAAATGATCACTAGGGTAGAAGGTCCTGATGGCTCTGTGGAAGAAACTAACTATAACTTCTCGGGAAGTACTATAAATAATTGTTTTATTTTGATCCTAGGATTAATATTCATATTGTTTTTTATTTCTAGAATAGGGAAGATAAGGTGACTAATCTAGAAGAAAAGATACTAGTGAAGAACTTTACAGAAGAATAGATTAGTGAGGCAAAATTTTGACCAAATGTTGATGGGTCAATTGTCCTACTGGCCTGTCTTTTATGTTTTAGGGCTATTGTTGATACCAATACTCAAAATGATTCATTTCTTAAAGGACAATCGGGAGTGTAAGCACAAGCATCACCTAGCAAACTATCCACTTAAGTACGAAAAAAAAGAATAACAAAAAAATAAGAATAACTGTTGGTATTCCTAGTGTTAAAGACCTCAATCTGTCTTTTTAGCTTCTTGGGATAAGAGATGCCAAGTGCGAGATGATAGACTGTGGAAATCTATAACTGATTGCAAGTATAGAATAGAACAAATAATCACCAGATTCTATGCTGTGTTATGGGTGGAAGATAAGAAGTGTGCTTGTTTTTAGGATTGATTTGGTCAAGTACAAAGATACTGAAAAGGAGACTTCTAGGCATGGTGCAAAAGTGGAAGATTAATGTTTTATTGTGTGACGAAACAGGAGGGGAGACCCTTTCTGCATTTCTATGGAAAAGGGAGAATAAACAGTGTCTATGCACAAGCAGGATAAGAGAGATAATGTATAGCATCAATTCCTACCACAAACTACTAAGCGTCTCAGTCAGTTAAACATAGCAATTTTGAAGGAAGGTTTAGCCCTTTGAAATCTGGACAGTGCAAAATAATCCTTGAGTTTCCCAAGACAAAGGGATAGAGATTGAACTCAACACCTGGGGGGAAAAACCTCCACAGAGGCATTGCATTAAGAAGCAGATTTCAACACAAGACCGAGAAAGGGGACCAGAGACCGGACTACCAAGCGACACGCTGGAAGCGACATAACCCAGTGAGACCCCTTTTTTTTGTGAGACCCAGGGTTCGAACCCTGGTTGGTAGCACCACAACTAGACACCTTGCCACCGCACTACTAATGGCATCATAACAGGGATAGAGTTAAGTGCCCATTAATCATTAATGAAGATGGTGGCATTGTGATGTATCCAAATAGCCCAGCACAAGTATATCATCCACGTCCCAGTCAAATATGAGAAACACAAACGAACCTGACTGAGAGAGCAGGAGAAGAGATTCATAAAGTGGAAGATAACGTGCAAGCATATACTGAAATGAAGCTGATGGACCTGTTTAGCTGAGAGGAAGATATCAAGGCCAGTCTAGGCCACTAAAACTCTGGAGTCCAGAATCTTCTGCTTCACTAGGAGGTCGAATAATTATATAGGTATAAGTTAAATAGAGATCATAGCAAGAGGTGGATCTGTGTTTCATTAAGTGACAAGCACAACCTTTGGGCTTTGGTAGCTTAAAATTTCTGGTGATAATGTAATAATATGTGTTTGGATGACTGTAAAACCACAATGCTGATGACATTTAAATCAGAAAACCAGGATGCAACCCTTTTATCAAAGCTGGTACTGGCTGGCCAAATAGCACTAGTGTATTACCACAGCCACATTTGCACAAAATAACCAAGCATACATTCAAAGTTTAGAAAAAATGTGTAGGAATATCATCATCTGCATTTCTAATTTGATCAGTGACACTGCCAGATCACTGGGGAATACACGGTTGAAAACAGGCACTGGGGCTAGTTGCCGGAATATGTATAATAGACGAATAAAGTCCTAGGCATCATGTAGTGTACCACCCCCCTGTGGCCCTTGGACCCTGTTGGTAGATAAGGAGTGGGAAATCTTGAAATACTCATATAGTTAATGACTTTTTTGTTTCTCCCCCGTGGATATCATCTTGGCTAATGCCAAATTTTGACTAATCATAGAGAAAGCATAATCAATCCAGAATATGTAGTTATGTACTGACATTTAAATATGATATTTAAGATAGGCTAATTAGTTAGAAAATGAACTAATTACCTTGTCCTGAAAATCATATATTTAAAATCAGAACCAGATAAATTACTAGGCATATATATCTATTTTCAAGATTATGCTTTGCAGGCACATATACACCATGATTCATATTTATGCCTTACTAACTGAAATATGGCAATTTGTGAAATATAGCAAAGCATGAACCAACCAGTGATGTACCTGGAGTGCAGAAGGCCATGTAGGGAACAACACTGTCTATGTCACCGCCATTGTATACCTTCTTCACCTGGCCAGATTTCAGATCAATACTGAATAGGCCATCCACAGTCTGCACAAAGAAGAGTGCAACGCCATCTGCAAAGCCAACCAATTCAGTAGAGATGGAGTTGGCATCAGCAGGGTGTAGTGTCTGGAGATCAATGACTTTGCTTTGTGCCCATCCCGCATCTCCAACACTACCACTAATGGCCTCCCATTACCAAAGATAAAGTTTGGAGTCACGCACGGCACCAAATCCAAGCCTAGCATCGTCCTCTGTGGCCATAAGCACAATGCGTGGCCCATGTTCAAGATGGGACAGTGGTAGATCAATGGTAAAAGTTAACCATAAGCTCATTTCGTAAGGCAGGTAGAATGCAGACATTTTCCATGTGCTCAAATCATACTTGATGATTTTGGACCTGAATGCTTGGATGCATATCTCAGACTTGAAGTAAAGCGCATTCCCCACAAGGGCAGCGCACGCCAAGTAGTCCACATCGGCATGCTCAACAGAATTGGTGGGCAGGCTCCAGTAGCTAGCCTCCGATGAGTAGACGAGGCCGAAGAGCACCCGGTGACCGCAGCCCACCACAGCCACGAGGAAGGGTCCACGGCGGCAGTTGAGGTGGTCACAACCCCCAGCGGCGCAGAGCACCGCCGCATTCCAGCTGGTCCACTCCTGTTGCCTCGGCAGTTCAGGCAGCTTCAGGTGGTCGCCAGTGATGGGATCCCAGATGACGAGGGGGTCATCGACGGGCCTTCCCGGTCCCAGTTAGTAAGGAGGACGCGGCCGTGGCGGGAGTCGAGCACGAGCCAGCGGCGGCGGTCAGGGAGAGGCTGGCGGAAGCGGAGGGAGGACGTGGGAATGAAGCGGGAAGTGCCGGCGTGGCCTGAGATGTTGCAGAGAACGCCCAGAACGGGAGGGGGCGCTTGGTGGTGGCGCGCGCAGAACCTGCGGCGGAAGCCAGGATCGGAGGCGACGCGGTACCAGGGCTTGCAGACCAAGGCGGCGTAGAAGAGGCTCGCGGGATCGTTGGGCGGGATGCGGATCAGGATCTCCTCGATGAGGTCGTCCGTCAGCGGCGCCGGCGGCGGCATGCTGCTGCCCTTGGTTGGATTGGACCCCGGGCTTGGGGACTGGTGCGAGGTTTAGAAAATTGCTAGTAGTATGTTAATCTCTTGATTAGGCTGATATTTTCTTCATGGGAATTTGATGTTTCTACCCTATGACTAAAGTGTAATTATAATTTTATTCTTAATTTTCTAAATTTATGATTTTGTCCTCACGATTTTAATTCGAAGCCTTCGTTTATCTCTGGTTTTGTGACTATGCTAAATATTAATAAAGGGGCTGTCTAGCTATCTGAGATTTTTGGCCAACCAAAAGAAGACAGCTTACCCAAAAAACTGACAGACACTACATAGAGAAATCTGTCAAATTAAACATAAACATAAACAGATCAACAACCCATAACGGGTTTCCCAACCCCAACATCTATTAATAGACACACATAGAATAGTGTCACCATTCGTTTGGTACGTGAGCATTGTCAGATATGATCATAAATTTTTCGGGTAAAATAGTATTTTTCTCACAAACCAAACCAAAGAAGATTTCTTCTTGAATGAACCAGCCAACCGAACGGACTGTGTATACACGGGTGTCAACGGGCTGTGTATACACGGGTGTCAACTTAGCATGTTGTTGCTTCCGTCGGAACTCAGAATACAATGCAGCCGTGCAGGTGACTGGGGAAAAGAGAGTTGACATAATGGCGCGGATTTCGAAAAAATGGGTTTGCGGGTTTCAAATTTCCAGTTTGCTGATCTCTTAGCAGAGTACACATCCGAAAAAGGCCACAGAATCTTCAAACAGATCAAACGCCCAAAATTCGATAGATAAAACTCAGAAAAAAACAGTCGACGGAAATCTAGCACTCCTCATTAGTAAATTAAATGGCGAAAGAATACAAACAGAAAAATGCCACACAAAAACGGCCAAAATACCCTTTTTATCTCTCTCCCTGACCCCTCCTTACCGTTTCAGTTCAATAAACATGATACCTAATCTAAATCTCCTAAGCCACTCTGCATAAGAGTTGTGCCGTGACCCATAACGTGTACCGCGAGCGGGCCATCGCGCGGACGACTTTTGTTAAGGCCATGTTAAGCCAAAATCTAAGTTAGGAGAGCTCCATACCCGAAAGCAATTCAATTAGTTCATCTCATAAGCCATCAACGAGGATCATCTATACCGAAAGACGAAGGACATAGGAGGATGCACAGTGATAGAACCAGCCTCGACACTTTGGAGTCCAATAAAAGCAAGAGAGGCTGCCCAAGATCATCACATATGAACAGTGTTTTCATATGTTCGGCTGAGCTACGAGCCGGTTTGTTTGGGTTTTTTTTCAGCCGGAGCAGTGTTTTTTTCCCACAACATTCTAGTATGAATATATTTTATGAAAATTTCGTACCAGCCGAACATTGTTTTCCAGCATGAGCAATGACACATCAGCCCGTTGACAAGTCCATCTATCTGAGCCATCGAGGTCATGACCGACTGTCCGATATGTTTGATGGATAGTCCGTCTCCACGCAAATGACACCCTCTCAGGCAGAGCACACAAGATGAATGCAATAGCGAGGGGCACTTGTGACACTCAAATGCCCCCTGCTTGAGCTCTTGAGGATATGGGACATATATGAAAAAAAAAAGAACCACCCATCCGCTCGATTAGGGTGCATGCCCGAAACAATATATAAACTTTTTGTGTCTTGTGTGCTACTCATGGAAGCCTACTGTGTGAGACTAAATTTTACCTTCCTGGTGGTACGAAGCATCAATACAAATTGGATGCTTATTCGGATTTGCATTTAGATGTTCATTTAACTTGTTGTCTATTAGTATCCATCGCATTATTTTATAAAAAATAATCATGTGATGAGAAATTAATATATAAGCATACTATAAAAACTCTATACATATAAACAATAGTAAAAGTACAAGTCATGTTAATTATATGCTTATAAATCAATGTCCCTGTTCGCTTGAACTTATCAGCCAGCTTATCAATCTACAGTATTTTTTTCTTACAACAAAACAGCTTCAGCCGGCTGATAGTATTTTTCTCTTACAACAAAACAGCTTCAGCCGGCTTATCAGCCGGCTTATGTATCAGCCAAACAGAGCCAATAATTAAAAGATAAGCACACTATAAAAACTATATACATATAAACAATAATAAAAGTACAATCCATATTAATTATATGATTATAAATCAATCATAATCGTATTGAATATGTGTGCATAGTTATTTGGCAAAATATTCAGTGCAAACCACATCTTCGGTGCAATTGTGAAAACCCTTTGCACAACCATATTTAGGAGTTTTCAAAAAAAATTGAAACTATGCACACCAATAGTGCATCTGTAGATATGCATTGTTACAAAATTTGAGATTCAAACTCGTTTATCAAATGAAATTTATTATTTTCATGTGTATTTTTATAAAACGAGTTTGAATCTCAAATTTTTAATAGGGTTTTCATCGATTGCATCGAAGATGTGGTTTGCACTGAATATTTTGCCTAATTTACGATATAACATGGACTATTAGTTACTCCTGGATGCAAATAGTTTTAACTTTTAAACGTTGCGTAACAACTATTATAAAATATATTTTATATCGTTGGTCATATTTGTGGCAAAACCGTATGAAATAACACATCTTCAGAGGCGCTCGTCTTCCACCAGACACTAAGCGCCCCAAAAATAAACTATAACGTATGGTTTGTCAAGCACACCCCAAAGAAAAACTCGAACAATCTACGTTTTTTCTCCAGGATCCAATAATAAGAACGAGTTTACAATACTTAGTCCATTTCATACAATAATAGTTCTTAGAAATACATTATTACAATACCAAGTTCAGAGTGCGGAATTTAAACAGCGAAATTACAAGGATCCGTCTGTGCCCACCAGAAGAATCCTCCACACAACAGCTACTCTTCAAGCTGCACCTGCAACAGGGGTAAAAAAACCTGAGTACATAATGTACTCGCAAGACTTACCCGACTAGTAAGAATAATTTTTCAACTCCAAAGGATATGATACGCTTTATGGTTTGCTGGATTTCCTTTTTGCGAAAAGCCTTACTAGTGGTGAATCCTTATGTATGTTTGTTATTAGCAGTCAGGATTAGTTCATTATCTAACCATTCTATGTAAGCACCTGTTCTACTTTCAAACAAGAGTGGAGCAATCAGATCAATTTCACCATCTTTCATCTTCCAGCTCTTACTACGGTGCTAGATCGTAGATAAGTCATACCGTATTACACGGCGATTCGTGAACCAATGTAGCCCAGCTGGGTACCTTGAAACACACGCCCCGCTTATACCACAGGCACAAGCAGGACCAACCCACCACTCTCCTATCAAGGAGTCCAGGTTCCCGTCTAAACTTGGACTCTAAGCCCCCACTTTTGAGTCCCTGACTCAGTGTGGTGCTTAGACCTCCACCACCCATGCCTTCAATCAGTCGGTCCAAAAAGAGCCGAAACCCATGACAATAGAGCAACGAGCCTTCCCACTCCCATAAGCAAGTATGTGCTTAAGATAATAAGTCTGTGACCTGACTAAAATCCAATACAACAGACGGTCCTTAACCGACACGAACAGAGAAAATAGTGTAATTAAGCTATGCCCCGTTGGCCACGGGACACAACCTATTACACCCACCAACATTCGTACCATATCTTTGCCCGGTCTTCATTTCCTTTCACCATTTTATCATGAGAGTAATAATAATCACCTATTGTGAGTAACGACAGGTTACTCACGCTACCAAAAAACCTAAGCATAGCAGCTACTCGCACCTATACTATGACTCATTGGACAGTTATATTTATACAGGTGGTTTCCATAAAATACCTGTAACGTAAATGCACATCACAGATATATATATATATTCAGTTATTATTCAAAATAAGGGTTATGCATTGGGGCTTGCCTTAGGCAGGCGAGGTGTCAGCTCAGTCAGTCAGTGGCGACTCTGGGACCTCCTCCTGCACGAGAAACTCATCCTCATACTCCTCGATGATTTCCTTGAACTTGTGATCGCCGATGATCACGATCTCTAGCAACTCGTTCTCTACATACATGCAATGATGATGCAACACTTAATATTTTGACAACAACAATTTTTAAAATAAGAATACATCTACTGAGCCACTAAGCTAGCTCTAATGGTTAAGATACTAACTACCTATCATTTCCACAAAACATAGGTATGGATTCATCTAACAGGTATTAACTTAGCAACTAAAATATAATCTTACTCTTATTAATGATTTACTATATACTAAAATAAGGAGTACTTAGTTACCATATTTCTCAACCTATTCTAAGGCTACAAAAATTACAGTGAATACATAATAATACCATGAATCTATTGTAATAATTTCATGGTCAAACCTATTACTAATTTACCAAAAACATCCTACAAATACTAATCTAAATAATACCAAACACTTGCAAATGATTTAATAAGCCTAAGCATCAACTTAGACGTGCATCATCTAATCATACCATCATATATACAACATTTTTAGAAACCCAACAAAATTTATTTAATAATTTTTGGATACCTATGTGAATTGATATTAATTTTTAAAGTTCAGCTCAGAATGTAAAATATAAAACTATTTCTAATTCCTTAAGACAAAGAAAAACGAATTCTCACTCTGCGACCCACCACCACGTGGCCCGCGCGGACGTGGCCCACTGCGAGATGGCCCACGATGGGGCGACCCACGCGTGCGCTGTCAACTTTGCAAAAACGCCCCCGCGCTATAGACAAATCAACCCGGGGTCTGCAACACTATTCCCTGAGAGAGAGGCTATGCAAAATGGACCTCGCAACTATCCTCTTTTACCACGGCCGGGTCCTTGGCCACCCCTACGCGCACCAACGTGGCGGGCACGGCAATGGACGGCTATGCCGGCCAACTAAGGCACGTAGCGGCCCCGCTAGCGGGCCGGCCTACATCTACAGTCCTAGCCCCTACACTAGATGAAGTACGGGAGCAGCGGAGCTTGCGAGAGCGGTGGCCACGATGAGCGGCCGCGTGCGACGGTGGCATGGATGTACCGGCCATCCTAGACCACCGCGTAGCTATTGGCTAGTGCGTGAACAACCCCAACAATGGTGTGCTATGGCGATGGTTGAGGGAACAGTCAGCGGATAAGGGCTGGCCGCGCGCGACCGACGGGGTGCAGTGGTGCTCAGAGACGGCGCAGCCGCGTCAGCAGCTACGACGAGGCGATAGAGGTGCAAGCGAGGCGCGTTGGGTAAAGTGGAGGTGGAGGCAAAGCTCGTGAGGCAGGTGGATTGGCATGGAGTGGTGCGGTGTGTGACTGCCCTCGTCCACGGCCGAGCCCGCCCTTAATGGCACGGTGGAGGGAAAACTCCAAAATTGGAGCTTGATAGGGCTCGGTTAGGACCGTGCGTGGACTTGGCGCGTAGCTAGGTTCCTTAATTGACATCTGGCACAAGTAATTGTACATAGATCGACCGGACGCTACAGGATCAGCTTTGATGCGACGCAGCCTCGTCTGCCCGCCTTCAATGGCGATGATGTCTCGGCGTCGACGGTTTTCCATTTAATGGAAGATGACAAGGGCGAGATGGTAACCGGCTGCACGTGTGGCACAGAGAGAGGCCAGCAACGCGTGGAAACTCTACGTTGCCTCGGGGAGCGACTGGTCGCTAGCGAGGACACGCACGCGTGTGGGTGTCGCAGCGGCGCGCTACTGGACAACGCGGCACCAGGGTAGAACATGCGCTTTGTCATGGCTGAGCTCGGCCATGTGGCAAGCTGCAGCACCACAAGCGAGACGACAACGAGGCAGCGGGACCTGAGGAAGGCGGTGCGCACAGCAGCGGCGATGCGATGACAGAAGCGGCAAAGGCGCAGCGCATGGGTAGGATGGCGAGCACAGTGTGAGTGGCGCGGAGGCTCGTGGTTGGCGGCTAGCGGCGTGCCCCGTGTAGCCAAAGCTCTGGCAGCGAACCGCCAACAGTGGTTACGTATGGCGCCAATAAGACCGACGCCGCATGACGTCGGGCCGGGACGGCAACTGGTGACGCTAACCCAACATGAGAAGACGGCCCGAGTTCATGTTATGCACGGATTTTAAAGTGTTCGAAACATCTAAACCGTTGATTCAATCCCCAAACCACTTTTGCTATACCTTAGAGGGTATATTAGGTTGCTAAAACAAGCCATAATACTATCATACTCCTTAACCCAATTTATCTACAAAAATTGCTAAACATCACAATGCCTAACCTTTCAAAAGTTCATGAATTTTTCTAAGTGTTAAATGGATTTCTATTTCTAGTTGCACTTTTAAGCTATTGAATATAGTACTTAACAACATTATCTCTCAACACCAAGTATTTTATTGTCATCTACAAATTTTACATTTCAAACTTTATTAAGGTGTCACATATATGTTTTATAGCGTTTTTGTTCAATAAAAATTAGTTAACATCCCTACTTGCTAACTTTATAAATCGTGAATTAATTTTTCGTTTTATGTCTTTACGACTAGTTTAAGTTACACCGCTTTACCTATTCATCACACCACATGCAATATCACTTAAGTATGATGCTCATGATATGTTTTAGCAAGTGATTCGCTATGTAACACCAAGGGTGTTACAATATTAAATGAAATTAAGAATTAGCCATATTACATTAATATCCTTAGTTATATAGAAATTAATAGGCAAACTAAGCGTAGCTCAATTAGTTATTTTCTTTGTAGTGGAATCTGTTCATCTAGTTTGAGTCCTCGACTTAATGTAGGTTTTACGCTCCTTTTTTTTACTGTGCACAACTACACATAGAGATAAATGTGTGTGTGTGTGTATATATATATATATATATATATATGTTTGAACTATGATTAGTAATATTATATAAAATCAATAATTAGTTATTAGAATAACTTTAGATAATTTTACCGATACTATATTATTAACTAATACCGATTGTATTGGATATCCACCATTTTGTCAATACGGACTAGAACTAGATTTAGATAGAGAAAAATAATAATTAAGAAAATTAGTTCATATTATATATGAATGTAACCACATATATTCATATCTCAAATTTTAACATACAAATTTGACTGCATATATTTATATTACAAATTTCGACGTACAATTCGGATAATTCGGGTTTTGCGACATTTATTTCCACCTCTAAAAAGCAAGTAGGGCTCCGTTCGCGTGCCTTTAAACCCAGCTTTATCCGCTTCTTTTTTTTTCATCCAAAACCATATTTTTCTCTCACAAATTCTTTCAACATTTTCTAAACCATCTAAATTTCTCTACAATTTCTCTGAGGGAACGGGCCTATGCTTCCTCCCCTACGAGTCTCTAATAATAACCTCCATTAACTCCGTCCACGCCTCTCTCGCGTGCTGCCGTCCACGCCATCCATGGAAAAACTCGCAGAATTCCAGGCCAGTCTTGTCTGTCTTCCCGAGACGGTACAGATAGGGGTAGAAAGGTAATCTGGGACCTCCTCCTTGCAGCAGCGAACAGGGTGGACGGGTGGTGGCCTGGTGGTCTGGCCAGTAGTGGCCTTGTGGGGGCGAGAGTATTTAATTGGCAGAACTGCGGCTTGAAGGTGCCACCACCTACCGTCCCCCTCCCCAGCGGCCAGCATCACCAGCAGGCAGCAGCCCCCACACCACGGTAGCACCATGGGATGGTCATCCAAATACTGGGCTCCCATCGATGCGTACGCAAGCAAGGGGAGGCGGAAGAGGAGAGGGAGAAAGGGACACCATGACCGGTGTCGTCCACCCCCGACCCCGAGCCGCCTCCCTTTTACTAATGGCGCATGACTTTTCCCTAGTCCCTAGCCGAGAGAGAGGAACAGCGACGGGAGCGACGGTGGAAAAAAAATGGGCTCAGCACCCGATCGCACGCACAGGCACAGGCGTGCACGGTGTACTGCCGCGTGCTACATCCGTCATGGCGTCCTCCCCTCCCCTCGTTGATACCACCACTCTGCTCTGCTCCTCGTGCCGCGCCTGTCTCCACTAGTGGTAGAGAGAGAAGGCACACGCGGCTTCCAAGAATACCCGCTGAGGCGAGGCGAGGCGAAGCGAGGCCAAGCAAGACCTTCTCCTCTCGCGCAGACCGGAGAGAGATGTGTGGAAGCGAGCCGGAGAGGGACAGCGGCCCACTGCTTCCCCAATCCACGCACCATTACCACCGCCTCCTGTCTACCACCACTGCTGATAGGATGATGGGCAGAGAGAGGTAGACGGGAGTTGAAACTCCATCAGTCCAGTCGTTGGGTCGGTGGCGTTTCTTGCCGGGCATGCGTGCTTCCTCAAACTCTCGCCCCGTCCGCCCCGGCCTCCTGTTGCCACCATCAATCCATGGGCCTTTTTGGGTTTTCGACCTCACCTCATCTCCACCTCCACCTCACCTCACCCATGGGTCAGAGGAGCTCTCCCCTTCACACGCCGCCCGCCCGCGGCAGGAGAGAGAAAGCGGGGGCGAGCAACAGCAGGGCAGAGGCAGGCAGGCGCAAGAAACTTCCCCCACCTCCACCTCCACCTCCTCCTCCTCCTCCTCGCCTTCCACCTTTATTTCTTGTCGTCTCCTTCCTCGGTCCTATCTCCTCTCCTGCTCCGCCTTTTCCTCCTCGGTTCCTCCTCCCCTACCCTCTCCTCGCCCCCCTGCGCTCCGTTTCTTGGGGGGCTTGAGGTGAGGTGATCTCGGCCATGGCGACCAATAAGAAGACCAAGGTCGTCTTGGCGCAGCCGGCGGTGGGGGCTCCGGCGTCGCGGCCGCCCTTCTTTTCTCGCGCGCCCGGCTCGGTCCGCGGCGCCGGGGACGAGGCGGCGTACAGGGCCAGCCTAAGGTACCGCGCCCTCCTCCAGGACTACCAGGAGCTCATCAAGGTGAGCCGAGGGATTCTCTTCCTGGACCTTCACCTCCTCTCGCAGCTGATCTGATCTGAGCTGAATCTCGGGTTTGGGGGAGGTTTTGTCTTCTATGATCGGTTTTGGATCCGCGTTTAGTTTTTGTCGTTTTTTCCCGGGATTTGTTGCTGTGAGGTTTGCGGTGTTTGTTCTGCCCTTTCTTTTTTGGGGTTTATTTAGATTTCATTCATTCACCCCCTGTGTTCTTTTGAGGATTTCTTGTGGATCTGTTGTCTTTTGTTAGGTTCAACCTGCTTGCTACGGCGTTCTTAGATCCATCTGTGCATTCAAGTTTGTTTAGCTTGATGGTGTTAGTTTTAGTTCTGGTTTGTTCCACTGTGATTTGCAGTTCAGCTTTTGTTGGAGATTTGAGCCTTCGAGGCATTATAACTTCCATAAGATTTTGCTGGTTTATCTCCACTTTGATATATATGATCTGAATAATATCTGACAATGGTTATGTCTTGTTGACCTGCGCAGGAAACCCAAGCAAAGAAGAAAAGGTTGCACATGGAGAGGCTCAGGAAGCAGAGGCTTTTGGCTGAAGTCTTGTATGTGTTTATCTGTCTCTGTTTGCGTGTATGTTATCTTTGTGTTGTGTGGTATCTGATTGTGGGTGGCATACTGGTATGTTTGCTAAATTCTTGTGTAAACCCATGGTGTTGCAGATTCTTGCGGAAGAGATACAAATCCATGTCTGAAAACCCATCTCAGACAATTGTCTGTAGACTGAGGAATCCAGCAATGTCATCTGCATCCTGGACAGCTGCTTCGGCAGGTGACGCCCAGCACCAGTCGGTTCATGCTGCCGGGAGCTCCATTAGAAGCCAGTTGGTGCACCGAAGGCACGGTGGTTCTCCAAGGGCATCTCCAGTGATTGACCTCAACGAGGCCTGTGAGCCGGTACAAAATTGCGATAAACCTCATTTCACTTGCTGCAATAGCTCTCAAGTTTGTCAGTTATCTCAACCGGTTTCTCTCATTTCAGGGTTATGATGAGATGGAAATCGAAGAGCACCATGGTTACAGGGCCTCTCTAGGCTTCAACAAGTCAAAGAGGTATCCGATGGAAGGTGATGCTGCTGCCGGCCCAAGCCAGGTGAGAATGCCTGTGTTCTGGGATGTCCAGAACCCAGCAGGGCGATCTGGGAAGAGGAAGATCTCATGGCAGGATCAGTTGGCCCTGAGAGTATAGGTAAATGACAATGTTTAGCTCTAGTACAGTAGTAGTATTCTAGTAGGATCAGTATGTGCCATTACTAGCCTGGTAAATGTAAAGGGATGGTTGGGGCAATTTGCTCATGTTTAGTGATGATGAAAACATAGGCTGTTGCTAAAGTATGCGTGTGCGTGTGTGATGAATCACCGAAATCTTATGGTTAATACTGGTATGGAAGGCTAATGGTTCAATGAGAGATGTAGCTTCCAAGGAAGTAATCTGTTCATGTAGAGTTGCAAAAATGAGGGTGCCTGCTCTCTTGACATAGTAAACATAAAGTTCAAGAAGAAGAAAACAGTTTTTGCAACAGTTTATTGTACATATAATGTAGCAGTGTTTTGTCAATTATAGTTTTGAGTTCAAAGCATCTGATCTGATAGCATGATGTATGCAGATCTATGCATTATGATCCAGGAGCTTAGTTGTGTCCTTACTTTTCATGTGATATTGTTTAGCATGAGCTCCAGAACTTCGAGCAGTTAAGCAAGAGTAGCACCAATTCTCGATCTCTTGGATACACTAGCCTGAGGTCTTTGTAAACCTTGGGTGGAAATTATTCAGATTCTCATTTTTTCATTGTGGTGAGTTTTTGTGTGCGGGCGCTCGCATTTCCTCTTTGTGAAAGGACAGTTGCAGAGTGGGGTTGGATGTTGAGGATCCGAGAATGATGTGTCTTTTCTTTCTGACACTGAGGAATGATGTATCTTCAATGGTTGGTGTCCATGGATAGAAACACCGCTATTCTTGGCTTGATCCACGGTATCTAAGGCCATGTTCTGTTGATGAACTTTGTTTGCCTGAGATGTGTATATGCGTTTCGCATGGTAGTGCACCAGGCCTAAGAGCACGCTTCGTCATACAGAATGGTCAAACAGAATGCATCATAGCTTTGCTTCTGATGCGTTACGCCAACACTCACTGACAAGTCCCTTAGAAAGGGATCCGTCTGTCTCAAGCAGTTTCTGAGGTCGATCATACTCTACTATTTTCCCTGAAACAAGCTATCAAGTATTATTCATAATGAGTTGTAGGAACATTCCCTGCAAAGTTGTTAAAGGACTTATTACGCATGCTTATAAGGATGCAAGTGGCCGGTAACCAATAGCGTTTTTTAGTCAGCTAACTAATTACCATCAGATACCATTCTAGTTAATTTCTCTCCTCACCCGAATTACATAAAATGCTGTCATTCTAGTTCATTTGAGCAAGTTTTTAGGTTGAACCAATGACAAAAAATAAGTCGCACTTGCATCCCTACATGCTTAGCAAAGCTATCTTCTCTAATGTTTTAGTCGCAGCGTATAGCAGTTTGACATGAATTCCCAAGTATGAATTTCCTATTTCACGTCTGTGTCAGATTTCAAGTGAATTTCCTATTTCAACGGTCAAAAATGGTCAGCGCAGTCAGTCAACCACTGACCGGACGTGACCCTCGAAACGACCGGATCCATGTACACTGCTCGTCCGATCGAGTACTGAGAGGGTCCAGAGACGTTTTTCTCTGACCGGATGTGTCAGGTCCTAGGCGACCGGACGCGCCAGTGAGTCCGGTCCACCCTGTGCCCTTTCACCGTGCCGACGTCAGCGTACGTCACGTGTGACCTGACGCGCCCCCTGCGCGTCCGGTCGCGCGGCTTCACCTGCGTCCGATCGCAAGCCCGCGCCGCGCCTTCTCTACTGTGCTTGACCGGACTCAGCATCGAGTCAGGTCACAGCGTCCGGTCATGCTTGGCCCTCTCGACCCAAAGCGCAAACAACTGATCGGACGCACCTGGACAGGGTCCGGTCTAGCGTCCGGTCCTGCACCTACGCTTCATTTTATTTTTCTATCTCCTCAAACACTTCGTCCTTGCTTCCAAGTTGCTAACCACAAAGTGTAGAACCTGTGTGCTCGTGTGTTAGCATTTTTTCAAAGCATTTTTAAGGGTTAAATGTTAGCACACTAGGTTCCTAATGCATATGCAAGAATCATGTCACCTAGTGGCACTCGATAAACCGTTTAGCCAAAGAATTCCCCTATTTATAGTACGACTATCGATTCTAAACACACTCACACCCTCTATGGCATCTTGAGTGCCAAAACAAAAACCTAATTGATACATTTGCCTTGATCAACCTTGTTTTTATTTTTCTCTTTCTTCTTTTTCAAGTTGGAGCACTTGATCTTAAAGTTTGGTCTTCACCATCACCATGACTATCATCTAGCTCCACCACTTGGTATGGGACTATCCTTTCATGTCTACACACTTAACACAAGGATTAGTCCCTAGGTTTTATCAATTATCCAAAATAAGACTAAGGCTTTCACTGGGTCACAATTTTGGAAAGGGGTCCTACAAACAAAACATTATGTTAAATGGGGTCTAATCTCTAAGGTTAAAAATGGCGGAAACACACTGTTTTGGGATGATATCTGGGCTAGTAATGTACCCCTCAAATTAGAATCACCCTGTTTGTTTGATATCTGTGAAGAGAGTAAATGTTTAGTGGAAGATTGTTGGGCTGGAGATGGGTAAAATGTAAGACTTAGAAGACCTTTGGTGATTGGTGAGATGAGGGAGTGGGAAAGGTTTATAGAGTTCCTAGATTCTAACTAGGGGGCTGGAGGATGAGTATACATGGATTTTTGAAAAAAAAAAATATAGGACATTCTCATCTTGCTCAATGTATAGGAACTGAAAAGTCTAAATAACCCCCTGCTGTATAGCGTGGTGTCTACTTAACTCCTTCAATACAAAACTAGGTACTGAACACATTAAAGGTGTCAAAACCGGTTAAGGAAGCCCCTGTTGTGGTATTGCACACCAGTTTTGCTTGCGTGGACTTCCAGCATGGCTAGGTTGGACACGGTGGCCCTTGGACCCACTTGTCAGATGGCTTGGCGTGAGTGGTAATGTGCATGACTCGTCCCTTGCATAGTCCCTCCATGCCCGCTCGTCTCCCTTATCTCTCCGAACCCCCTTCTCTCTCCGGCGGCGCGGGCGGCATGCTGATGATCGGTGTTAGGTTCCAGTGATTGGCTTCCTGCATAATGACCAGGTACGTCTTGGTTCCTCACTGGCCCTTTTGTTTCCCGGGATGGCATGTGCGATTTGAGCGAATTTGGGGAAAATGGGGTTTCTTTGGAACTACTTCGTAGCACTCATATTCGTTGAGATGTCGGTTTTAGTCATCGTAGATGTGATTTTAAGTTCAATGTGGAACATTAAAGGTGAGTCTGCGTTAGGTTACTATGCGATTTCATTGGTTCATGGTATTTTAGGTTTAGGGTTCGTGCTTTCGGTTGCAATAAAAGAGTGGAATTTTGTGGTTTGTGTTTAATTGTGATTTTTTTTTGTTATCAGGGCAGACAACCTTGATAATATTGCAATACGATTTCACTTTGGTTGTTATTTTCATACTGCAAATGGTCATGTGCATTATGTGGGTGGACAAATTGCTGAGTCTTGGATTGACGTGGACAAGCTGTCATATTTTGAGATCAAGGGGCACCTGGGTGATCATTTAACCTCAAAAAGTATCTTGTGGCTGTATTGGCTGCAGCCTAGGATGGATTTGGGGGCTGGGTTGGTCCTATTGTTAGATGATGCTTCCAGCAAGGTCATGATTGATTATCACACAGATGGTGGGGCAGTGGATATGTATGCTGAGGAGGTTGGTATGGAGATGAGTGCAGATGATCAAGAAATCTAGGCAGGTGATAATGAGGAAGGAGATGATGAAGCAGCAGGTGCATGGAATTCTGAGAGCCAAAAGATGGAAGACAAGGACTACAGATCTTTCATTGCATTCTACATGTCTCCACATAACATTTCCAAACATTGCTCTAGAGGCCATCAAGCCATACCCTAACATTCATGTACAAGGCATCATTCCATATTAACATTACACACCATGGCAAACAACATGCCTAGCACAAACACACACAAGCATACAGTGAAATGAGTGCATCAATTCTTCAACTTTGCTTGCAGTGCTTCCAACTCCTTGTCCTTGGCTTCCAACTCTGCATCCTTCTTTGGATCTCACTCTGGAACTCCTCCTTTGCTTCCAGCTCTGCATCCTTCTTTAGCAGCTCCTTTTACAGGAATTGGTTCATCTTGTCAACCTCTTGACCATGCTGCATTGCCCTGTCCCAGCCTTCTACAGCAACACCCTGATTTCTCTCCCTCTTCTACCTCCACACAGCATCACGCAAATGTGCTCATCAGACGGTTTCAAAGTTCAGAGGGTGGAGTAGCCATAGTGCCGAAGCTCAGAGGGTTATGTAGACTTTGTCCTATAGGAATTTAATGTTTAGGGGCATCACTAATAAAAGAATGACCAAGCTTTGGAAAAATAAGGCCCCAATGAAGATTAGGATTCTGATGTGGCTACCTATACAAGATAGGTTACAAACCAGGGTAAATTTGAAGAAAAATAAATGGAAGGGGAATAGAAACTGATGTCTCTATGGAATCCCTCAAACAACAGAACACATTTTCTTTAATTGTGAGTTGGCTAAAACTGTGTGGGCATGCTTTAAAAGAGGCTAGGGTGGGACAAAATCCCTGAAAGCTTTCAAGGGGTCTTTGATTGGTGGCTTCTTTAAAGGATCAGCATTATCACATTAAGTTCTTCATGCTATCAGTAGTTATATGGGGGTTGTGTACAATCCTCAATAAAATGTGTATTGAAAAGAAATTTCTAGGGTCGTCTGATGAAGTTTTTTTTTTTTTTCAAAATATTCTCCTTGTTACAGAAGTGGCGCATACTGTTGAAGGTGGAGGATGAAAGTTACATGGACAGCAAAGATCAAGCTCGGTAAGACTGGTTGCTGGAATTTTGGAAGCAAATTAAAGGCGTGGAAATTGAAGGAGTGATTTAAGCCTCTTTTGCTTTTTCCTGTTTCTCAAACTTGAGGCTGGTAGTCTGCTTTGTCCTAGGAGGTGTTGGAGTTTTATCTCGGTTGCTGGCGGTGCTAGTCACCTTTACAGTTTATCTTTTGCTCTTGTTTTGTAAAAGCTGGTAAGTTTGTTTGTATGTTCTTGCTTTCTATAAAAGCAGAGTTTTCCTCCATCAAAAAAAAAATATTCAGAAAAAGAACTCATGAGAGGTTTGTCGATTAAATTTTGACGAAATTGATGTACCATAAAGAGTTGCTCACCTTGGAAGCAGCTTGAAGCGGCGGTGCGATGGCGCGGCCTGCCGTCCGCTGGGGAGAAAACCAGTGGGCGTGGCGAGGCATGACGAAACGACGATGGCGAGTAGTAGCGGCGAACAGAGGCAGTACGGCTCGCTGCCTGATCCCAGGACGAATGGGGAGGACGTGACGCGGCAGCAAGCGATCAGGAAGAAGAGAAGAAAGGGTAACACCGGCTGGCCGCGGCTCCAAGGGGCGTGCTGCCCATCCCAGCAGGCAGCCCGAGCCAGAAATGTTCCGCGTAATGTTTTGGCCATGAGAGAGAGGGGACAGGGTTTTACTAACCCATGCTCGGAGGAGAGAAGTCTCTTGGATGAATAGCGAACAATGAACCCCGTAGCTTCAGCAACATTCAATCTTCCTGCATGATCGGAGGATTTTAGTTCTCCAATCCAATTAAAAAAACAATTCCACAAAAATTGGCCCCTAATCCGGTAAATCACACATCCGAAAGGGAGAAATAGGGATTGCATGGTGTTAGTGCCGGCGGCATAAAGAGCTGGGCTTGATCTCTCTTCAGGTAGGGCTTGCGTGGTTTCCGATTGCAACCGTGGGCTTGTTGTGGCAGTTTGAGGAACCTGAACAGGCATGGCCCAAACACTTTCCACGTTTCGCGATGCATCCCCTTTTTATATAACCTTCCAAAACGCAAAACCTCCTCCACTTCTCTCTCTCACGAAACCGATATGGAGTTTCGGTACCGCGCCGTCGACGAGCGTCGAAGCCGGTCCCCGCCGCCGCCAGCGGCGCCGAGTACTCCTGGCTCCGGATCGGCAGGTGAGATCCCCTAGACTCCTATGCCTATCCCTCCGATTCATATTCGATCGATCTCCTGTTTCACCTGGCCACTGCTTCGATCTCCTGTTTCACCTGGCTACTGCTTTTGCATGCATATGCCCTGCGATCCCACCAGACGGCCACGGCAGCAACGGTCCGGCCGAGCGCGTGGGTAATTCTGCCGTGCCGCTATGGCGGCCTGATCTGCTCCCACCGGAGACGGCGGCGGCCGACACTGACGAGCTGCGGCGGCAAGCGGAGAAGGCGAGGATCAGGGAGCGGATCCTGAGGGAGGAAGCGGAGCACTGGGAGCTCGAGCTGGAGGTGCGCAGTGAGTTAAGGGAGCAGATGCTGCAACTGTCGTGGCCTGCGCTCGGGTGGCCGGCGAGAGGATCCTGCACGCCGACGCCGGTATCACCGGGAACGATTACCGCCGCCAACTCATCGCTGCTGCCGGTTGTTGCGCTTGAGGTATGCTGTCTTTTTGGCATTTTGTGTTTGATCACGCTTTTCGTTTGCCCCTAGCTAGGTCTCGCCTCACGTTTTCTACGAACGTCAGATTAAATCTCGGCAATAGTGACTGATTTTAAAATAGATTTTTTTACTGATTTTAAGATCGATTTTCACTTCGGGTTTGTCACAACTCGATGCATCACTCAATTTTTTGTTGATTAAAATTAAAATTTTCTTTGTTTTAATTTTAGGCCATCTACATATGCGAACTGAACGAGCATATGTGAGAAAATACATGTTATAGTAAAAATACGTCAAATGGAAACAAATCAAGAATTCAAGACACACATACATGTAACCACCATAGTACAGATAACGTGCTTTTTATGCTGCATAGGTCTAATTTCTGATATAGTGAGTGTCGTTTTCTCTTACAAGGAGTACATTAGGGCCCCACGCTTCGAGCACACTAGTCGTATTTTACTTTCATATACTTTTTCTCATGCTCTGTCATCTACTCATTCACTACGTTCATCGTTGACAAAAGACTTTGCAGATGTCGCCTATAGTTTTCCCTTTTATTTATTTTTTTAAAAAAACATTATTTTGTTTAAACTTAAAATTTAGATTAATTTCCTTTTATTTTCGTGTGATCTTTTGCCAGCATGAAAATCCAAACTAAATACACTTTGAAACTTCATATGTCTTGATCTCAAATATCAAACTTGATTGGGACACACGCAAAACTTGCTTATTATACTTGAATGCTGACTTAAACTTGATTCCCAATTGAAGCACGTATGTGTGCATCATTATGATTTGACACTGTGTTTTACTTTTTTTTGCTCATCTCGAAGAAATTGATTATAGTAACTCATGTGTGCAGGCCCACCCAAAAGCAAGCGCACTAGCAACCGCCATGACCAAACGGAAGAGCTCTGATCGTGCCGCCGAAGCATCCACAGTATCGTTGGCTCCAAACAGCAAGAAGCAGAAGAGCACCTTAACCTGCACAGCGTGTGGCATCAGCGCAAACAGTGAGAAGGCCATGCAAGACCACCTCAATGGGAAGGTACACAGGAAGAAGGTGGTAGCACTTCCTGGAGCTGTCAAAGCTAGTGCCAGATGAGACAGAGCAGGAGATAGGGCTCGAGGCAGGTGAGGAACCGGGAATGGCGATGGAGACATTAGGAGATTACAAACCCACCAAGTTCATGATGGCGACGACCGCAGGAGCGCTGAACGAAGTGACACAGATGGATGGGTACCTCCTCTGTGAGTTGTGCAATGTGCGGACGGCAGACCGTATTACAATGATGTGCCACTTGCAAGGGAGCAAACACATCTCTAATGATCAGAAGAAGCATCAACCCTCCAGCAAGCCATCGGGTGCGGCTATTGCCACTGCTGATCCTAATAAAAATCTGGTTCTAGAGGATTACAGTGCGTCGCTGCCACACACTGTGTGGCGCTTGGAAGGCTTTCTGCTCTGTGAGCTGTGTGACGTGAAGGCCTCGTCGATGAATAGCATGCGTGAACACTTATCAGGGAAGAAGCACAAGAATAAGGCAAACACCAGCTCATCTGATGCGTCTGTCAACCTTTCCTCAGGAGGAAAGGAAGTAGCCAAAGCACAGCCGATAGACACAGATTACACGGCTGTCATCTCTGACGAAATGGCAGCAAAGGTGGAAGCACCACTAGCGAAGAAGTCATTGCAACCAAAGCTTGGTGATGATAATGAGCTGCAAGAAATGACTGTGGCACCACCAAAGGAAGACATTGCCATTGGGGATAGTACAAAGACTCCTGGAACAGAAATGATGAAAAGCAGTGCAACTTCTGCTGGGGCTCAACTCAATAATGTCTGTGATTCTGACTCACCGACCATGGAAGTAGACAGTGTGATGCACCCTCTACGGCGGGTGGATGGCTTCCTTGTCTGCCTGAGTTGCAACGCAAAGGCATCATCTGAGATCATAATGCAGTCTCACCTGGCTGGGAAAAAGCACAAGCGCAAGATGGCACTCGCTGCTGCACGAGGAAACAATGACTTGTTTGTCCTTGTCACCGGGGCTGATGAGGCACAAGACAATGGCTCAAAGTCCATCAAAAGCAATGTGGAGGCAGAATCGGCGGTGCCACAAGCAAAAAACGCTGCCAATGAAGATGCAAAATCAGCCCCGTCATTGGCAGTACCACAAGCAATGGCATCCATGACAGTAGATCGACCAGTAGAAGCTCAACCTGCTACTTGCATTACTGAACCAGCAGAGGAAGGCGAGATTATTGAGGAAGCTGAAGAAGAGCATGCAGCTGCCGACTCCAATGGCTCTGTGACCCAAGCCAAGGAATCCGTGATAACAAATTACACCACTGCCCCTGTCAAGCCAATCAAGATCCAGGTGGAGGGTAAGGTGTTCACAGTGATGCAGCAGGAGAATGGCAGGCTCTCGTGCGAGCTGTGCGGCATCCATGGCTGCGACAAGGACAGCATGATTCTGCACCTCTACACCCGTACACACTGGGGCAAAGCCAATCTTGCAGAGAATAAAGAGCAGCAAGTGTGAATGGCTGCAATCGCAATGGTGGATGAGGTTGGCAGCATGGCAGGGGCGGCTCAGGTGTGATAACGATGTCGGCGTGATTATATCTGATAGTAAAGGACTTGAACATATCATATTGACTATATGGTTACATTGATCAAATAATACTCCAGCACCAGCAACTTGAAAAACCAGCAGATTTTGCCTATTGCTCAGTACATTGTCATAAGTTTGCCTCTTTGCTTTTCAGTTGTTCCTGTATTTCTTGTTTGATGTGCAGTGCAAGCGCTCCTTCCTAGACTAGTCATGAATACTTGATGTTTTGAACAACAGTACATTCTTGGAATCATAACATTAATTTGGTCACTAGTTTCTTGTAAAGTATGAGGGTGTTTGGTTCTTTAGTCGCTCCTAAAATTCACATTACATCGAATGTTTAGATACTAATAAGGAGCATTAAATATAGATTAATTACAAAACCAATTACACAGATGGAGGCTAATTTGCGAGACGAATTTTTTAAGCCTAATTAATCCGTTATTAACACATGTTTACTGTAGTACCACGTTGTCAAATCATGGACAAATTAGGCTTAAAAGATTCGTCTCGTAAATTAGTCACAAGTTATGCAATTAGTTTTGTAATTAGTCTGTATTTAATACTCCATACATATGTTTAAACATTTGATGTGATAGAAATTTTAGAAGCTCACGTAGAAACAAACAGGCCCTATATCAGCTGGGCTGCCTGGCACCCGCCGCCAGCTCGCCAGGATATCCCACCTCTTTGGAGGGACAAGAAGGGCAAAGGTGTGTGGCACAGAGAGGAGAGAGAGAGGCAACTGACAAATTGTTGGTGCTATTATTATATTTTTCTAAAGAAAAACGACTGTTATTAGCTTTTTCATTCATATGAACCCATAGTGAAAAATTTTATTACTTAAGTAACAGCTATGGCCCATCAACAAACTTCAGTTCTGTAGAAGAATTTTGTGCTGAGTCAGATTAAAAGAGCTTGCATTAAAACAATGTTTTTTTACAAAAGACGGCAAAAGCTTTGCCGCGATTTTTATTAGATGAAGGAAGAAAAAGTCAAGTGCCCGTCCAATTTTTTGAATGGAAACTAGGCCAAAAACCATATAACTGAGAAGAGTGTTTCACTCATCCTACACAACTTTGGTACAACCGGCGACTATCAAAACTCACACCACTATAAGCTCCAACTTGGTTGATTCGACTCAACTAACAACTGACAAGGACTGAAGAAACACGACGACCCGCCGTGCGACACCAAAGCTTGGGGCGCCACCATGGCCAGACAGCAAGGAGTAACTATAGAACTGGAAAGCCTAACATGAGCGTTCAAAGATAAGAGAATACACCTGAATTAGAAAGTTTCAATTACATAGCATGTGAAGTTTAGTTCTGAACCTGAAAGATTTTATTGAATTAACAATCTTTTAAGCGTTGAGGATGCTTTTTTTCAAAATTCAGGGTGCTATCAAGCAGTATGGCAACTATTTCCAATTCTGTTCACACAGTGTGA